TGTTCCTGGACCACATAAAGCTACCCTGAAAGAAGATGTGTTACAGAAGGCAAAATTCTTTCAAGATAAAAAATACCTTTCAAGAGTAGCAAGAAGTGGCAGAGATGATGCTATTCAAAATTTTATCAGAAACACCTCCCACATTTTTAAGAATGGAAAAAGGGTGACAAAAACTGCTCTTAAACGACACGGTAAAAAAAATGCTTGAACAACATAGCCTTAGGAAGCATGGTAAGACTCTGGACTTAAATAAACTAAATCTGCTGCCAGAACTCAAGCAACAGTTTGTAGGTTATCAGGTGACTTGACCTCCTGTATTCATTGGTATTGATTTATCTTGTTCATTTATTTGACCACTCCTGACAATTCCAGCACTCTAAGACTGATATATCCAAGAACTGTTTCATTAGAAGACAGAAGAATGAAAGAAGTGTTCTGAAAAGTCTAATGGAGACATAATTTGAAGGTAAAATTTTTATGATGTATGCGTATGTTTGCATGGGTTGTCTCTGTCCAGTTCATTTTCTGCACTCATCCTCCTCTCCTTAGTAATGTCTAATGCTCATCTATTTAACCAAGTTATTTTTAAATGTTTTAAGCCACTCCAAAATTTACCCTAGAAATGGATGCTGTTTACATATCATCTTTTTAAAAATTTGACCTTCCATGACTATTCCATTTAAGCACACCACTGTGGGAGTTTGCTTAGACTGAAGAGAAAGGATAATTTTCTCCAGCTCTAAATCCTCCTAAACTCACTGAAAAAGTCATTAATTCCCACAGAACATAAACTACTGCTTTTGAGCTAGAAATTTTCTCTTCATTATGAAGCTTACTCCCATTTTGAAGGAGCTTCAAATTTTGATGGACTTTTAGTCTGTCTTTCCTCTTACGGTCATTTATTATTTTCACTAATCCATATATTCTTTAGACAAGGAGAGTCAAGACACAACTTGTCACAGATGAAGCTCTGAGTTACTTTTACCTATCAGGTAGCTGTTCAGTCAGTAATAAACAGCACCAAAACATGACTGGCAGAGCTCTTAAAAACACCCTTAAATACACACAGTGTGGAAAAACATAAGAAAACTGTGGTTTTAATCTACAAATTCATATGCAGTTGTAGAGATGCTAGAGATCAGAGTAAGTTTAGAGCAGGAAAGGTTTTAGAAGTACCTGGTCTCTAGCAGCATGCTCTGATGGCTGTGTCCTCATCTGCATTTAATTTTTATTTTTATGATAGGGTTATTTTCAACAACACCCAATAACTATAGCGTTATTTAATTTTAACACAATGTTCAGATCTTACTTCAGTCTAAGGGCTGGCTCCACAGTTGGTAGCAATGGCCCTGTTAGGCCAGAATATCCCTCTCTTTGGGAATGGAAAGAAGCCCTGCTTGGATGCATGGAGCAGATGGATACTGACACCGAGGACATTCAGATTTTCTTTCCTATACCTATGTTCATAAAACTTGGAAAGAAAATTTATCTGCAGTATTTTTTGTAAAACCACTTCTGCCATTCTTACTCAGGCAAATCCAAAGACAGTACCTAATGTCTTCAGAGGAGCAAGAAATTCAAGGAGTTACATATCACATTCATACTCAGGTAATAGAGAAGAATAAAACACATCAGGTTTGTTTCATCTATCCTAAGTGGTGCTTAGGGGTTCAGGAAAAATGTTTCCAGTACAGGAAATTAATGAGCAATATTTACGATATATTTTAATGAAAGGGATTTTTCTGGTTAACTTTGAGTTAAGCACAAACTCCTTTTGTTAATTGTTACAAGTACTATTAAGGTGTATTTGTCTCTTTTTCTGCACTGGCAAGTGAAGAACACCAAACAAATATTCCCTTGGCGACAGATTATTTTTAGCATTGAATTACTAATAGGTGAGAGCTCTAAGGCATGCTGCAAATGGAAGTTCTTTTCTAAAAATCCCTAATATTACTATTTTCCCTGATTTACCTCTTTCTCCTAAAAGTGGAAACAGCAAAAATTAAGTTGAAGATAAATTTAATAACGCCATATTTAAACCAGGAATCACACAAGCAGGACGCTCCTTTGACTGTAAAGGAACTGCCTCCCATTATCTCTGCACTGAGCTATGAGTCACTTTTTTTTTAAGTAGAGGTTGAAAGGAGATGCAACTTAACATGGCATCAGATTGTAATACTTAGAATTCAACCAAATAACTTTTTTTTTTCCCAAAACTGGGGCTCTTTTGTGGGGCAAGGGGACAGAGAAGAATATCTCTGGTAAGGGGAGAAAAGGATATCTCTGTCATTTTTTCCCTCAGCATTTCCCACATTTATCAGTCTGACAGCTTATCTAATGGCTCCAGGCTGAAGTCCATCTCAGCATTACAGTTTATATATCAAAAAAAAAATTTTCCCCAACCCCTGCAGACTCTAAATCTGACTTAGTAGCTAGAAATCCTGTAAATATGGTCTTAGCAAACTTTAAGGGAAACAAAGGCAACATGACAATGCCAAATTTGCAATTTCTACTAATCCACTAAGCTATCAAGCCTAGTTAGACTATCACTCCTAACTTCGAGGTTTCTGAACGACTGGGCATTTTTTGTCAGTAAACAAGTAACTGTAGTTTTGTTGTTTACCTGTCTAAAAACTAAGTACGGTTGGCTCTCTGTAGCTGTGGGTTTCACATCCATAAATTCAACCATGGATAAAAAATATTCAGAAAAAAAGGATGGTTGTGTCTGTACTGAACATGTACAGATGTTCTTCTTTTCATTCTCTAAACAATACAGTGTAACAACTATTTATAAAGCATTTACATTGTATTAGGTATCACAAGTGACCTAGAAATAAAGTATATGAGAAGATGTGTGTAGACTATATGCAAATACAGCATCATTTTATATAAGAGACTAGAGCATCTGTGGCTTTTAGAATCCTTGGGAGGTCCTGGAACCAATACCCCAGAGATACCTAGGGGTGATTGTACTGAATCATGAAACTAGATATATACTTTGTAAACCATACATACTGTAACTTTTAGTTATATAATTATAAAACTACAGAAAATTCTTAGAGTATTTCTAAGCAAGTAGGCTCTTCCCTTGGCTGAGATTATCTATTCAACCTTTTAGTTTTATAGACTCATGTAACTAATTTTAAACTAAAATATTTTGAATATAATAAACCCTCCTACAAGTGCATGAGAATTAAATACGGAGAGAGTCTGTATGCAAATAGTAATCCATAACCTTAAAGGGGTTTATCTTAGTGGAAAAGACCAATTTTGGCCTTTTAAAAATATAAACGTCTGGTGTATTATTTTTTAACAACTTTAGTTTTCTTTTTCATGCGTTCAATAGTCTATGCTGGATAAAAGCAAGTTGTTGGGCCCAGTGTCAGAATTTATGGTATAGCCCATAAAACATAATGGCCAAGAAGAGGCACACTTGTATAACTAATATGTTGGAAATCATATCTACAGTGTTAGATAACTAATAAGGCAAATTGTAAAACACACAAGATATATAAGACAGAGCAGAAATAGCACAATATTTAGAGCCCAGAGATTTGGACCTAACACCTAGTTTTGTCGTTGATTCCTTGTGATACAGAGTCTATTTCTTCACCTTAGAACAAATGCTGCTAAAATTTACCATTTAAAAACATCACGGAAAGCACAAACTGTTAGGATGCATGAATACTGACTGCTTTGAATAGCATTTTTAATAGCAAAAATGTGTTTACTATAATAGCTTACAACCATCTTTTCAACCATCTTTTTCAATACAAAATAAACATTTTCATATTTTACATTTCTCATCTCTGTAACATCATATACAATAAAAATCCCAGACATTATTGGCTGGCTGAGTCTTGCAAAGAGATGCATAAGTAAACTAGTCAAGTACATCTTAACCATTTTGGGTATGATTTAGTCATAAAACAGTAATATAGACATAATTTTGAAAGTTAAGCAAATGAATCCGTTCTTTAGAAATGCCTTTTCTCTTGAGTTACAGTAGTATATTTATAACTTTATTACAATTTATACAAATCAGTAGATTTTTATTTCCACACCTTCACAATCCCATCTCTAGAAGCAGTTACAATGAAGCCCTGTGTTGTCTGGAATGTGGCAACATCAGTGATGATGTCGTGATGTCCCACGGGCAGGGACTCTGGGCCCCTTCGAGGGGTGTCATCACTTGGTCCTACTTTCTGCTTATTCTGAATTTCCTGTTTGGTGATTAAAAGTCAGGGAGAAAGCCGGAAGTTAAACTCTGTACCACATTCTTCCTCCCGTCAATAGTCGTGCTTCTGAGATGCTCGTGTTGTATTTAAGTTAACACTGTTTGTAAAGTAGTCATGCTTTCACAAATACACTGAGCAAAATAAGGAGCCAAAATGACATTCTAGGGTCCTAGTCATATTTCATGAGTAGCCACTTATAAACATGGTAAACTTATTTCAGGCCAATATTGTGTGCACATTAACTTTTGCCAACATCAAAAGAAAAAAGGGATAGAATACTAGCAGATGTTCTAGTACTTCTAAAGCTTATTAATATTTGTCATGGAGGAAGCACACTTTCACATATGGAGCACCTACTCTCTCTGGCCCAGGCACCAAAGGTATGTTTTCTTACTTGAAGTTTTTGCCTGAGTTAAGAATACAAACTTTACAGTGCCAACAGCCAGGTTTGAATTCCAGCTTTCTGTTTCCTAGCTGTGTGATCCTGAACAAGTTACTTAACTTCACTGTGCCTTTTTCATTTGTAAGAGGATAATAAAAGTGCTTCTTTATGATGTTATAAAGTACCTACTGGTCAACTGAGCTATCACCTATATGTACTTATTTTACCTTAACAAAAGTTAATTTTTTTTAATAAAGAAAATTCAAGAAAAAATAAATTCAAAGTACTCCTCTCTTGCATCAAGCCATTTATCTTAATTCTGTTTACAAAAGCCATGTTTATGCTTATAAAAATTGAAAGAAATGAAAAGACTACTGTACCTGGACAACTTCAGTGCCTTCAATTATTTTCCTGTAGTAGGACACAGATGGGGAACTAGTACTTCCTGCAACAACATAGGACCTTTCTGGGTAAGCCAAGTCCCAAAACCTACGGAAGAGGAAAAAAATGATGACAATCTCTATAGGACAGTGGGAAGAACTAATAATCATTGGCTTATCTTCATCAATGCATTGTAGAGGTTTTTGTAGAATAGTGTACTATTGGTTACAAAGAAAGGATTAACAGCTGTCCTTGTAAGATGATTTTAAACATTATAGTGCCATCAATATCTAACACCTTGTAAAAGTATCCATCTACATTTTATTCTTTTTAAGTATTCGTTGAGATATTGTACCTTATTTTCATATCTGAGCCAGCTGTTAGCAGGATAGGATTTCCATCTGCAGGACTACAGTAGATACCATGAACACTATGAGGAGAAGGCTTAAAAGAAATAAATATGGAGTCAAATAAAAGACATCAGTGTATGCCATAAATGATGGTGCTACTTCTACAGGCAAGTTAACTGGCAGAAGCTTTATAAGCACCTGGTAACTTGAAGAAGTGAGAGACCAGTTATGTACGCCCTATCTACTTCAATCTGGGCTTTTCCTAAACATCCCAAGCTTTATGGGACTAGCAACTTACTTACCCAGTGATGCAGACCACTAGCAAGGAAACACTCATGTAGCAATGGCCACATGAAACTTGATGTTACTGAATACCCAAATTTAAATATAACCCAAAAGCCCAACAGATAATAGGTTAAACACCTGAAAGTGCTTAGGATATGGGGAATAACGTCATCCTTTACAGTAAAAACTGAAGTCAAACCTGTAATTCAGAAAGTGGTGGTGCACTGCTGGCCCAGAGAGTGAATCTTCTGTCACCAGTCTCCATGTCCCACATGGACACTTCATTGTTGCCCTGAACAGCTAAGGGAGACAAAGGCAAGAACCATGACTCAGACAAAAAGAAGAGCTGGGGAAGATTGCAGCAAAACAAACTGCAGTCCTGAGAGAAAGATAAACCTCTTTCTCTCAGGGAGAGAGACAATATAACAAGCTTTATTCGCTTATTGTTATTTGCTGAGTCGTTAAATACAGTAAATATTTTTACTATGGTCTAGTCATTGTACTAGACACTGAAGAAAAGATGGCAAACAAAGCAGAAAAATTCCCAGTTTCATGGAACTTCCATTCTAGTGAAGACAACAGACAAAATGCAAAGCAGGAGTGTGCTGAGTTCAAAGAACAAGTCAGTGTGGCAGGAGCAGACCGAGAATGGGAGATAAGTAGGAGAAAGGGCAGCAGCGCTGGTCACTTTCCATTTGCTGCTCTAAATCTGACCTGAATGAACCACATCAACAAGCTGGCTAGATTCACTGGCCTGTGGTAAGCTAAATAATGGCCCAAAGATACCCAAGTCCTATAACCTGTGAATGGTACCTTATATAGCTAAGTGACTTTACCAATGTGATGAAGTTAAGGACCTTAAGACAGATTATTCTGGATTACTCAGGGGGAGCCCCCACATGCAATCACAAATCTGCTTAGACGAGGGAGGCAGATTTGGCAGCAAGAACAAAAAGCAATGTAACAATGAAACAAGATGCTATGTTGCTGGCTCTGAAGATGAAAAGAGGTGCCATTAGCCAAGGAATTTAGTTCTAGAAGCAGGAAAAGGCAAGGAAAGAGATGTTCCTATAGTACTTCCAGAGGGAAGACAGTTCTGTTGCTACCTTGATTTTGGTCCACAAAACCCATTTCAGACTTCTGGCCTCCAGAATTTTAAATAAGTTGTGGTGTAATGGCAAACTAATACATGCCTATGGGGAACCCTACTGGGAGATCTAAGGGAGGGAAGAAAGTCAGGTCATTCCCATCAGGCTGTTTTTATCCCTCACCTCAAAGTCACTGCTCCTTCAAGGTGGCCTTCTGTACTCAAGTTCTTTCCAAATTCAGTAACCATACTCTCCTCTCCTCTTACCTTCTACTGCTCCTTTGCTGTTACCAACCTGTATTACTGTGCTATCTTTTCTGATACCCCCAAACCTTTGTAAACAATTTTCTTTGAAAATAAATTCTCCTTAAATTACGCTACCTTGAGTGTGGTACTGTTTCCTGTTAGAATGCTGAGTGATAGAGAAGGTCAGAGAGGTGGCAAGAAGGCAGGTCCCATAAAGTCTTTTGGACCGAGAAGCCAACAGAAGGTATTAAGCAGAAGAAAACAAAAATGGTCTTAAGAGGTTCAGCAGAAGCAGGCTGCAGAGAGAATATTGTGTTAATAGGAAGAGACTACAGTGGTTTGGACTAGGGAGATAGTGATGGAGGTAGTAAACAGTGATCAAATTCTGGATATACTTTAAAATAGAACTTACAGGACTGGCTAGTGGACTGGAAGTGGGATGAGAAAAAGAACAGTCAAGGACAATTCCAGGCTTCTGAGCAACTAGTTGCCATTTACTGAGAGAATACCATAGGAAGAGTGGTAGGAGGCAGTGGTAGAGAGACTCAGTGGAGAGGAAATCAAGCATCAGTTTAGTTAGATGTGGAGTTTTCAATGGCTATTAGACATCTTAAAGGAGATTTTAAATAGATATATAAGAGTCTGAATAAAGGTAGTAGTTAAAGCATGAGATTGCATGAGATCACACACACAGCCAGTGTAGAAGTGGTTGAGACCAAAGACTGGGTCCTATAGCAGGCCCCAATTTAAGGCCAGGAAGATGAGAAGGGACCAGCAGATCAAGAGTTAGGAGAAACAAGAGAAATGTCCTTGAACCCAGGTAAGGAGAGTATCTGAAAACAATGGAAATCAACTAATCAAATGGTAAGTCAGCAAAGGGCTCACAATAATGGCCACAGAACTTGGCAACATGGTGACTTTTATAGCAGCAGTCTATGAGATGGACTAGGTGTACAAGAAGGGATCACAAAGAGCCTAGAGGAAACAGGGCTGAGGGGAAAACATAATAATAAGAGTTGGCCGGGCGCGGTGGCTCACGCCTATAATCCCAGCACTTTGGGAGGCCAAGGCGGGTGGATCACGAGGTCAAGAGATCAAGACCATCCTGGTCAATATGGTGAAACCCCGTCTCTACTAAAAATATCAAAATTAGCTGGGCATGGTGGCGTGCACCTGTAGTCCCAGTTACTCAGGAGGCTGAGGCAGGAGAACTGCTTAAACCCAGGAGGTGGAGGTTGCGGTGAGCCGAGATCTCGCCATTGCACTCCAGCCTGGGTAACAAGAGCGAAACTCCATCTCAAATAATAATAATAATGTTATTATTTATCAAGCATTAATTGTGTACTAGAGTATATACTTTGCATGTTTTATCTCAATTCCTTATAACTCTACAAGTATATTTTTAACTACATATTAAAGATGAGGAAAATCAGTTTCAAGACTTGTCTAAGTGTCTTACCCAGGAGCCATACAACAAAATTTTAATACCCAAGGAGGGAAGGGAAACTTTCAAGCACCACAAAGGAAACAGAGCAACAAGAAATTGCAACGGAGATGGATGAATCAAGGTTTCTAACTTAGCTCTCTAGGCAGATGGTGGCAGCTTTAACAAAAATAGGGGACAAAGGAGAAAAAAAGAATAGGAGATGGTAGTGGACAGTTAAGAATGGAGAGTAATGACGGTGACCGATGAGATGATTTCTGAACATAATAAATATTAGATGACAGTGAGGTATCAGTAGTGGGGAACCTCCACAATCAGAAGAGAAGCATTCAGTTCATATGTAAAAACTAAAAACATGAGTTTTGCAGAAGGTTTTTATGTACTTTCTAAGAAAATCTCCCAACACATAAAAGCCAGTCCTGCATCTTACCTGCAATCACCCAGGACTGATACAGAGGGTGCATCGAGAGGCGCCTGATTCGAGCCCTGGAAGGATGACAGTGACTTGAAATTGGCAACTGGAACCTCATGTCCCAACAAGCCATGGTACCACTGCTTGTACCTTAAAGATAAAAGCACAAAAAAATTACCATCTAATGATCAAAGCACATCAAGCTCCATTTATACAAATGGTAAACAGTATTAGCTTTGTATGAATTTATTTGAAAAATGCCTTTGTTACTTAAAAAAAGGTTTGTTCTCATGAAGCTGTCTCACCAGTTTCAAACAGTACCCCTTTGATTGTTAAGTAACAGAGATATAAAGTGCTTATCAAAATGCTGCTACAGTACTAATGAATGTAAATTGAAAATAAGTCATTAGTTACTGATATTGTTATTAACTGCCAAAGGTACCCACAAAAACAGAAGCTATTACTGAGAAGATATAAAATGAATTTGTTAAGTCAAAATGTTCACACTGCCTTAAACACCCAAAGATGTTTTACTAGCATTCAATGATCACTTTAGCAGCAGCTTTGCAGATATCAGATTTCAGTTGTTTCCATTTATCCTTCTCTCTTAAACATTCTACAGACAGGTATGTACATCTTCCTGTACCTGTGCAGTTTATTCACACAAAAGGCAAAAAAAATGTATTCCATATAAACTGTATAAAAAATAACAAAGCAAAGGGCACACACTTAACAGTGTAACAAATATAAGTTAGGGAAATCTAGAAAACCTAAATTCAAGCACAGAAGATAATTCCTCTGAATAAGCATGCCAACTAGAAAATAAAACGTGGTAGCTTCTCAAGGGGCAGGTTCAAAGCACCACAGGGGAAAATGCGAAACTTGAAGAAAGGAGCAGATGGGAAAAGGGGAGACGTTGATCCAACAGTACCAAGTTTCAGTTAGGAGGAATAAGCTTTGGTGATCTGCACAGAATGGTGACTATCATACAGTATATTTCAAAGTTGCCAAAAGAATAAACTTTTAATGTTTTCACAGCAAGTATTAAGGTGACAGGTTTGTTGGTTTGATTTAATCACCCCACAATTAATACATATATCAAAACATCACACTGTACCCCACAAATATATATGATTGTCAATTAAAAAATACATTTTACAAAGGCAGCAATCCCATTCTTGGGTATAAATATGCCTGAAATGGAAATATGTATGTCCTTACAAAGACTTATTTGGAAATATTTACAGCAGGTTGACTCTGAAAAGCCAAACCTAAAAACAACTTAGCTATCCATCAACTGAGGGATAGAGGGATACAAAAACTGTTACCTATAAATGGAATATCATGCAACAATACATTTTTTAAAATCCTGTTTAAGCAAGCTAGATCACTTGGTTCACCTTTAGCCTTTGGAGACAAGGCAAATAATAAAGTAAGAAACCATTGCTTAGCTCTTCTCCCAACACCAGGCACTGTGAGAGATCCTTATACGTCATTAAATCCTCAACACTGCCCTTGAAAGGATTATCCCCATTTGAAGATGAAGATAGCTGAATTCAGAGGAGTTAAATAACTTGCCTAAAGCTACTGGAATTTAAACCATGTCTGTCCAATCTCAAATGCTATTTTCTTTAAATCAAGTCTGCTGTTTCACTGGCAGAGTAAGAGAATGCCAGCAAATCTGATCACTTAACGATTATAAAGTAAGAAGCCTCATTTAAGAACAAGGATAAGGTGGAAACCTTTATGCCTTAAGATACTACTTTATCCTTTCAAATCTATTTTTTAATGAATAAAAATTAAATTGCAAGATATTTTAACATGATTATGGGAAAAAAAGATGGGAAAAATTACCAATAAACAAAAAGGAAAAAACTGCTTTCACAAGACGGCAATTACAGGCATAAGTGGCATTCAAAGCCCAGTCAATGACTTGAAAGTTAGCTTACCAATGCAGAGCCAGCATTGGTGAATGTCCACAGCAAAGGAAGTGATGAGGCCCGACTTTAAATCATGCTTTAAAGTCCACGCATTGCTTGAAGACCTAAGATCCCAGCCAACCAGAGAGCCATTCACAGTGGCATAGGCAAGAACAGACTGCGCCCCAGAGTTGAAGTGATGCATATCCACAACACAACCGTCCTCCTTCTGATCTAGAATTCTAGAGAAATACACAAAGTGCAGACGTTTCCAGTCACTGAAAACATAGCACTAGTTTCCATTTAAAATGAATTCATATCCTGTCCATAGTCAAAGAAAAACTATGTGACTCCATCATAAAGCCGATACATTAAAAAAATTCCAGACTTAGAGAAGAATTCCAAAAATAGTAGAGTCCTACATATCCTTCACTCAAGCTTCCCCTTAAGTACAACTTACATAACCATAGAACATTTATCAAAACTAAGAAATTAACCTTGATATAATACTAGTAATTAGAGTACAGAATGTATTCTGATTTTATTAGTTTTCCCACTAGTGTCCTTTTACTATTCCAGGATCTGATCCAAGAAAATACATGGCAATATTAAATTTCTTCTAATCTGTCACAGTTCCTTAATCTTTCATGACCTTGATATTTTTGAAAACTATTTTAGAGAATGTTCCTTGATTTGGGTTTGTCTGATGTTTTCTCATTATTATCCTGAAATTATGTTTTATTGGGAAGGATACCACAGAAGTGATGTGCCCTTCTCAGTGCATCGTTTGAGGGAGGATTGATGTTAGCACATACAGGTTAATTATCACATATCCAAAATGCTTACGACCACAACTGTTTCAGATTTTGGATTTTTTTTTAGTATGAATTATTTGCATATACATAAGGAGGTATCTTGGGAATGGGACCCAGGTCTAAATATGAAATTCATTTGTTTCATATACACATAGCCTGAAGGTAATTTTATACATCTTATACACATAGCCTGAAGGTAATTTTGTTCGAAATACTTTTGTTCATGTAACAGTTTTGACTGCAACCTGTCACATAAAGACAGGAGCTTACTGTTCCCATCCAACTGTACTTATATATATTCTAATTTTGACCATATTTTCCCATTGAGGAGTGATGAAAAATCCAACTGCCAAGTAAAATGTGAAATGGTTCCTTCCACAAATTTTAACTGGTAAGAGCTATCTACGACAACAATGGATAGAACCAAAACAATCGAAGACTTATGGCAAGGTTTCTTTGAAGCACACACTGTGAGAAAGAGTAAAAGCTAAACATCCTGCCAGTCACCTTATCCCGGTAGTTAATGTTTGCTTTAAGACAATAACATTTATAGTGAAAAGTGCTGTTGGTTAACAGACAACCGTGCACTGAATGTGCATGTCTGTCTGCATGTGTGGCCTGTGGGCTCAGTCATCACACAAAGCACCCTGCCAAGTTATTAAGTAATTTACATGAAACTCAATAGATACTTTACTATAGTCATCCTCTGCTGAAACAGCTTTTCTTCAGAATGGGCAGATATTTGTTGTTAAAGACCATTCAGAATATGTCCTGGACAAAAGCTGCTTAAATCTGTTTAATGAATGTGTGAAAAATAACATCTTTTTAGATCCAAAAGTAAAACAAAACAACAAAAACAAAATCCAAGGTGACCCAACAAATAACCCTTTCTGCCTTACGCTACCTAATAGCCATGAGTTATCCACTAAACTAAACAACTCCCCATTTTGTGTTCTTCTGTGGGGTCCACCACCTCCACCTGGCCCTTCTCAACCACCCTGCTTCACCTGGCTAACTCACACCTGGTCTTACCCTTTCAGGCTGGCTGCTGTTATCCATGCAAAAATTACCACACTGAATAGAAATTGTCCGTTAATTTGTCCATTTTTCCCACTAAACTGCATATTCTTAGAGGATAATGTATCTTGTCTTTGAAATCTTCAGTGTGTAACACATATTGGTCAAAATTTATTCTGCTTTGTCTTTAAATGTCTTACCTTGTATGCATTTAATCTGTAAGCAACCACAATTTATAAAAAATTAAGAAAATTCTTAAATAAAACCACTGCTATTTTGTTTTAAAATGATAAGCAAATCATCTGTAAATGCTCTTCTCCATGTCCCCATCAACTTCAGAGATTTTTAACGACAAGCAACAGAATGCTGACATTTGAGTTTTCTTTAATGAAGAACACTCACATTCTTAAAATTAGCCAGAGTTGTGCTTTTAGTAGCTCAGACAGAAGACATAACTGGTAATTAGGTTATTCAGACCAACTCAACACTGGGATGACCTGCAAGTTCCAAGCCGCCCTTTTTGACCTCTTGACAAGTTTGTAGAAGGTAAGATATATAGACGTCATCTTCTGAGACTAACCACATGTGACAGTTTTGAGCTGGAAGCATTGTTTATTTGTTTTATGGGCTTAAAAAAAGAAGTGTAATGTAAGAGACCATCAGCTGATCCCAACTACATTGCAGGGTAGGAAGAAGAGTTTAGGTATTGTAGTGCACTAAATATAATGTTTAAAAAAAACAAGAGATAGATACCTGCTTTGTAGAGGATGGATTTTAGGAGACTTGGGTAGCTTAGAAGCCTCAATTCCAAGAAGCTGGACAGCACCATTATCAGATGCTATGGCTAAATAGTGGGAGCCTTGGCAGAATGTGAGCGTCTTGACTCGTCCTCCAATTCGGCTATATGTAAGAATAGATCTGAATGAAAGAAAAATAAAATTTTATTTTGAAACAATGTCACTGCTATGTTAACTATCCACATGACTATTAGCAAGCAAAATTATTACTCTGAGGTCCATTTAATCTCCCTGATCTCATGACAAAAACAAGAATTTCCTCACAAAAAACTGGTACAAAAATCACCTTTTCTTCTGATATTTTCAAATGGCCATTTGCACACACTTCTTTCTCTTATCACAGACTAACCCTCCTTTTTTCTTTTTTTCTTTTTTTTGAGACAGGGTCTCACTTTGTTGCCCAGGCTAGAGCATAGTGGCCAGTGGAGCAATCACAGATTACTGCAGCCTTGATCTCCTGGGTTCAAGTGATCCTCCCAACTGAGCTACCCTGGCAGCTGGGACTATAGGCATGTACCACCATGCCTGGCTAATTTTTTTGTAGAGATGAGGGTCTCACCATGTTGCCCAGGCTGGTCTTGAACTCTTTTCTAATGAGAACTCCGATACTTGTGGTCCTGATCCAACTCCCCTTTAACTCTTGGAATACCTTAAACCCTCACTCTTATACCCTTCAGTTATTCTGTCACACAGCTTGGCACAGAAGGAAAAGCATTGGCTTTGGAATCAAGGACTTCCACTACCAACTACTTAATTGACGTTGGTCAAGCTACTTAATCAGTTGTATGCCTCAGTTTACACATCTACAAAACAAGGGCTGCCCTACTTCCCTAATTTGACTATAGGAAAAAATCAGATAATATGTAAACCATAAAACATTCATAAATACAAAATTATACTAATCAGTCTCTCACACAAATGCTGACTTCTTAAGCTGTGTTTTCTACCCTCTTTCTTTAAATTCACTGCCAAACTTCTTGAATATATGATCTACACAGGGGACCTCAATTACCGCCAACTCCCTCCTCCATTACCCTCCACACAGACTACAACTTTACCCTTCTAAAGGGCCATACCTCTAAAAGTTCAAAAGCCTCTAATCACCAAACACATTCATCTATCTTGTGTAATTTATTTCACCTTATTATAAAAGTTAATGCATACTAAATGTACTAAAATATAGAAAATACAAAAATATAAAAACATTTGTAATACTACCCAGAGAGAAACACTATTAACATTTTGTTACATATCCTTCAAAAGGTTTTCTATACCTATTATATTCACATTTGTTTTTTTAAAAAAAATATGTAATATTTCATGTATTTTATCCATCATCTCTCTCTAGTTGTTTTTCTTAATAACAACTTTACTAAAATACCATAAAGTATACTTAAAAATGCACAATTTAATGATTTTTAGTATATTAACAGAATTCTGCACAGATCACCACTAATTGCAGACCATTTCCATTAATTAAAAAAAAAAAATCAAAAAATAAACTGTCCTTATACCCATTAGCATTCACTCCCCATTACCCTCTGTCCCTAGCCTCTGGCAATAATGAATCAACTTTATTGTCTATGAATTTCCCTATTCTGGACATTTTGCAGTCATACATTGTGTGGTTTTTTTATATCAGGCTTCTTTCACATAACATCATGTCAAAGTTTATGCTGTGGTATGTAATATTTCATTCCTTTTTAAACTAAAAATTATTCCATTGTACAGATACGTCACATTTTGCTTATCCATTCATCTGCTGATAAACATATGGGTTATTTCCACTTTTTGACTATTATGAATAATGCTGCTATAAACATTTGTGTATAAGTCTTTATGTGGACAAATGTCTCAAATACAATGCCCACAGGGGCCCCAATCAGTACTGCAGATGAGTAAAGACAGCCAGAGAAAAGATATGGCAGAGATGGGAGCGCCAGTATGCTTGGTCTCTCACAAATACTTAGGCTTTCTCTCCTCATCTCTTTTAATACTGACATATAATTCACATATTACCAAATTTACCCTTTTAAAGGGGTTTATAAATAAAGTCACCACACTTTACAACTATCACCATTATCTAATTCCAGAACATTTTCAGCATACCCAAAAGAAACCCTATACCCATTAGGTGTCTCTTCCCAATGCTCCCTTCCCCCAGCACCTGGCAATTACTAATCTATTTTCTGTCTCTATGGATATACCTATCTGTATATTTAATATAAATGAAATCACACAATATGTGGCCTTTGGATCTGCCTACTTTCACTTAACATACTGTTTTCAAGCTTTACTCACATTATAGCATGCAGTAGTACTTCATTCCTTGTTATGGGTAAATAGTTTTCAATTGTATAGATATGCCACATTTTATTTATCTATTAAACACATGATAGAACTTTTGGTTTCTATTTTATGGCTATTATGAATAATTCTGCTATGAACATTTGTGTACAAATTTTTGTTTGAACATATGTTTTCAACTGTCTTAGGTATATACTTGAATGAAATCATGGAGTCATATGGTAACTCTATGTCTACCATTTTTAAAGGCTACCAAAGTGTTTTCCAAAGTTACTGTACTATTTTTACATTCTCACCAGCAATGTATAAAGCTTTCAACTTCTCCACATCCTAACACTTCTTACTACCTTTTTTACTATAACCATTGTAATGGTGTGAAATAGTATCTCACTGTGGTTTTGATTTACATTTCTCTAGTGAGTTAAGGAGCATCTTTTCATGTGCTTATTGGTCCTATTTGGAGAAACATAAATATTTACATCCTTTGTTTTTAAATTGGGTCATTTGTCTTTTTATTGTTGAGTTTTAAGTGTTCTTTATACATTCTGAGTAATACATCCTTCTCAAACATATGAAGTTATTTCTCCCACTCTATGGGTTGTCTTTTCAGTTTCTTGATAAGAGTCCTTTGAGGCACAAAGGTTTATAACACTGATAAAGCCCCATTTGTCTATTTTTACCTTTGTCACTTGTGCTTTTAATTTCTCAGAAATCCTTACCTAAACCACGGTCCTGAAGATTTACATGCCTATGTTTTCTTCCAAAAGTTTTATGGTTTTAGTTCTCACATTTAGTCTATCATCCATTTTGAGTAAGTCTATCGACATTCATCTTTTTTCATGTGGAAATCCTGTATTCCCAGCACTATTTGTCCAAAAAGTCATTTTTCCCCCACTGAATTATCCTGATACCTCTGCCAAAAAACAATGACCATAAATGTATTTCTACATATCAGTTCTACTCCACTGATCTGTATATCTACTGTCAGACCAGTACTACGGTCTTGATTTACTGTAGCTTTGTAGCAAGTTTTATAATACAGAAGTGTGGGTCCTTCGATTTGGCTCTTTTCTTTCAAGATTGTTTTGGCTATTCTTAATCTCTTGTATTTCTTTATGGATTTAGGATCAGATAATCAATTTCAGCAAAAAAAAGGGGAGGGGGGCAGCTAGAAATTCCATAGAGATGGCACTGAATCTGTACATCAATTGAAAGGACTTCCATCTTAATGATATTAAGTATTCCATTCCATGAACATGAGGTTTCTTTCCATTCTAGTCTTCTTTAATTTCTTTAAATAATCTTTTGTATTTTTTAGTATACAAATCTTATATTTTCTTGTGTAAAATTTATTCTCAAGTATTTTGTTCATTTTGATGCTATAGTAAATGGTTTCTTAAATTCATGTCTAGACTATTCATTGCTAGCATTTAGAAATGCAAGTGATTTTTATATAATCATCTTGAATTCTGCAACTCTGTCAAACTTATTAGTTCTAGTCAGTTTTAAAAATAATTATTAATTATTGCTAATTCTCTATATACATGATCATGCTGGCTACCAGAAATAGTTTTACTTTTTCCTTTCCAACATATATGCCTTTAATTTCTTTTTCTTACCCAAATGTCCTGGCTAGAACCTCCAGTACAGTACTCAACTGGAAGTGGCAAAAGTGGACAATTCTTGTCTAACTCTTCATCTTAGGGGGAAAGCTTTCCATTTTTTTACCATTAAGTACAATGTTAGCTGTAGGGTTTTTCGTCGTAGATGGCCTTTATTCATTCTTTTCTATTACTAACTGGTTTGTTGAGTTGGTTTTAATCATAAAACGATACTGGATTTTGTCAAATATTTTCTGAGTTTGTTGAGATGATCGTTTGGTCTTTACCCTTTATTCTATTAATATGGAACATTCATTAATTCATTTTCATATGTTGAACCAACCTTATATTCCTAAGATAAATTGTACTTGGTCATATTATTTTTTACATGTTGGATTCAGTTTACTATTACTTTGTAGCAGATTTTTACACCCATATTAATTATGGATATTGGTCGATAGCTTTCTTGTGAACTGTTTTATTTATCTGACTGTGGTATCAGGTTGACATCTGCCTCAAAGAATGAGTTAAGAAGTGTTCCCTCGTTTATTTTTGGGAAGACTTTTTGAAGGATGGGTGTTATATTAGTCCCCTCTTATCCACCGTTTCACTTTCCCTGGTTTCAGTTACCTGTGGTCAACTGCATTCAGAACATAATAGATGGAAATTCCAGAATAAACAATTCATAAGTTTTGAATTATACACTATTCTAAGTAGTGTGATAAAAATCTCACACTGTCCTGCTCCCTCCTGTCCAGGACTTGAATCATTCCTTTATCCTGTTGAATACATTACCTGCCCACTGGTCAGTCACTTAGTAGCTATCCCAGTTATCAGACTGATCATCACAAGGAGGGTGAGTACAGAACAGTAAGACATTTTGAGAAACAGAGACTCTATTCACATAACTTTTGTTAAAATATATTGTTTTAACTGTTCTGTTAGTGTTGTTGATCTCCTACTGTGCCTAATTTTAGTACTTCTTTTAGGGCAAATCTGTTGGCAGTAAATTCCCTATTTTTATTTATCTTCAAATGACTTAATTTCTCCTTTGTTTCTGAAGGACAATTTTATTGTCACAGAATTATTGGTTGACAATCTTTTCCTTTCAACACACTGACTTCTGGCCTCTATCATTTCCAACTTAAAAATCAACTGTTAATTTTATGGAAGATCCCTTGTATGTGATGAGCTACTTTTCTCTCTCTGCTTT